TGGATGTGATTAACTGAGCCAACGTAGGGAGCAGGACCATGTTTTCACTCTCAATTATGCTTTCCCTAGTTAAAATCAAATAAAAGCTGTTGTACTATGTATAATCAAGAAAAGTCCTTCTGATTGAAATATACGAAATGAAAGTTTATTTGAATTCTAAGAGTCCTCTGCCTTATTTGGAACTAGATAGCAAAGAATTTGCTTAAAGAGGACCTCAGCACTTATTTATGTATTTAATAAATATTTATTGATTATTTACTACATGGTACATACTGGGCTATGCTCCGGCATTATAATAGCACTGGAAAAAAAGAATTATTTACTGATTTTTCAATATAGTGACAGAGATGTACACTAGTAAAATAATCATTTACCTAAATATAAATTTGCAACTATGATAGGTATATGAGAATAAAGTAGATTTGACCTAGAATTAATGAGTTCCTAACTCTCTTAAACTGGAGTAAAGCTTTTGACTCAGTAATTCCACATCTAGGAATTTATCCTACATGCATTTTGTCTCATGTGCCCAAAGATAGATGATAAGACTCCACGGTATGTGAGTTTGTAAGACACTTAAATGTCCAATGATAGAGGCTTAATTCAATAAATTATGCAATAACTACATAGTAGTAAGGTTTATGTTATTAAAAAGAATGCAATAGATAATAACATGAAAAAATCTTACAAATATATATTTCATAAAAAACAAGGCACAGAAAAACATGAATGCATGTCAGTGTAATAATACCATTTATGTTGAAGGGAAAAAAGGAGTTGTATATGCATTTATGCATATGGAATGTCTAGAACTACTTATCTTTCTCTAAAGAGGGGGAAGAGCTATCTATTTTACTTTTCACTTTAAACTTTGTTTCATTTTTTAAAAATTTTTTTTGTGTGTGGTGGTTGTTCTTTTATTCTAAAGGCATAACTTATACAGTAACTTATACATAACTTATACAAACATTAACTTATACAGTTTTGAACACATACCCTTGGCCTCATTACCAGACCACCAAATCACAGTGTTCAGTGAAAATATCCCAATAATTGGTAATTAAAAAAAGAAAAATCACAGAAACAACTACTATAAAAACTCCCTAGATGATTCTGACCAGCCGAATTGGAAACCATTGCTCTAACATAATAAAGTATCAACCTTAGAAAAATGTTAATATCTTCACAATTTTATATCCTTATTTTAGAGCCAAAATACTCTGAGAACATTCTATATACATGGAAAACAAAATGTACGCCATGATTAAAAAAAAAATTAGTAAGTATGCTAATTTCCAATATCACAGTCTCTTTCAGAACAAGAATTTTATTCTTCTGCTATGAAAATTACTTCAAACTGACTTCTAGCTCTAATTTCAGGAAAAGTGTCCTCAGACTTCAAATACCTCATCCTTCAAGCAGCTGTTATGGTCAATATTTATTGTACTCTACAAACTTTGATTTATAAAAAAGGACCAAGGATTTGAAGTAGAAAAACTGAGAATGAACTATTTCGTATCAAAACCTCAGTGTGCCAGAAAACTTAGTGCCTTTCTTATGAGCACTGGTTTCTCATGAAAATTCCTAAGTTAAACTAAACCTAGTAGCTAACTCTGTTCTCCATCTTTAATCACGTTTTTCCAACTTAAATCATAAATAAAACAACCTCTGAAGTGAGTAAGCATATTGCTGGTCTAAACAACCCAAATAATTATCCATTTATTTCTGGACCCTCTACTTACTAGCTCTGTAACATTAAGTTACATAAGTTTTCAGCATCTCAGTTTTGTCACTGGCAAAATGGAATAATAATGGAATCAAGTTCATAGTGTGGTTATAAGAAGTACAAGAATGAAAACAGGTAAACTGCCTGGAAAATACCTAATATATAGTAATGCTGAGTAATAAGCTTTTTATCTCTAACCATTAGTGTGAGCTCTCAAGACATAAAGTCATAGTCTTAGCAATTAAAGGCCACAATTTGAATTTGGATTTGACTTTGAGCTTGTGCTTTTATTCAGTATCCTGCCTCCCTTGATTCAAGCATTTATCAAACACATATTAACTCAGTGCCATCTGGGTATAAAGCACCAGTCTAGGCATAGTGCAATACAAGGATTAAAAAACAAGACCTTTGCCTCTAGATTAGATTTTGGAAGAGAAACTGGAGAATGCACACAAGTATAAGGTAGAAGCCACTGCCACAAGAGGCAGGTATATGGGGATTTAGAAGAGATAATAGTTAAGTCCAGTTGGTGAGTGGTGCAGGCCTAGAGGTGGGGGGTCAGAGAGTCACTATCATGGTGTGGGGTTCAGGCCAACTACATAAATGGTGCCATTCAGCAAAGCCCAGCAAAAATGGAAGAAATTGACCTCATGGGGAAGTTTCTGACTCCACACAATCTAAGATCTCTTTCCCTACTGGAATGCTGTTCATGGTGAAGGTTTTTAGAAACAACTATCATCAAATAACCACATCTATAAATGCTGGGGTTTTCCTTCCTTTTGGACCCAGAAGACAAGAGTTGGAATAAATAATTCAAATGCATGAGCTTATAATTCCATAAAGTGATGTCAGGGGAACAGCATCACACAGAGTTTTACAGCAAGAGCTCTACAGTCCAATCTGGCCAGGTGGAGAAAAGACAGCCCTGCTACCTAATGATAACTAGGTAGCCAAGGAGAGAAAAATCTGTTGGCATCTGCCCAAAACACAGTAAGCAGATGGCCATGGGCACAAAAACCATCATGACAATTGGCACTTCACAAGAATGCTCTGAGCAGGGAAGGGGCCTGGAAAATGTCCTTCTTTGGCTGCCCTTCCTTCTGAGGCATATTGGTGGCACAGGATGGGGAAAACTGCCTGACTGCTGCCAAGGGGGACAGAGATGGCCTTTAAAATCTAGGCTACTGCAGCCTCCTGAGTAAGCAATCTGGTACCTTTCAACAACCAGAGAACACCTTAGAGATGTGGGTGCCGATTTCTCCTGGGACAGACTATATCCAACAGATTCCATTCAAAATTGGCTCAAAGGATAATAACAAGGCAAGCTCCAATTCGGTAGAGGGGCCTGAGTCCTCTGAAGCCAGACCTCGTATGTCAGGTACATGGCACGAAATCGTTTTATCTGCTTTAGAATTCTTAAGTGGGTGGCATATGGAACACCAAGAGCATGTGTGCTTTCCAAGGTTAAGTGCCACTGGATGACTAGGTTTGTTAGCTGTTTGAAGGGCCATTACCAGTAACAATTTACTTTGCAGAGGCTTGCTAATTTGGAATTTTTAAAAAGTTAGAGTAGATGAATTTTTTTCTGAAATGTATTATCTTGTCCTATTTATGATATTGCATAACATTTCACACAGATACTTTAACCAATTGGCATTAATACATTTATCAATGATGTCACAACACACACACATACACACACACACACACACAGAGCTTACTCTTAATCTGCCTTTGAATAATAGACTTCTCTGAGTCAACAGCAAATAAAATACAATGCTGAACTGCTGGCCTGTATCTCAAAAAATTATCAACTGAATTTCAGCAATAAGGACGTCTAACTTTCAAAAATCACTCTGACATAAGATAGACATTATTCCAAAATGAATTATATTTACATAACATTTGACTACTTTATACTTTTAAGTAAGTTTTAAATATAGTTGAGAACTATCCTTCCTTGAAAAAAAATAACAAAATATCACAGCCAATGGACCCAGATCCCCTTGATTTACATTATTCTTTAAATAAATTACATAGACTACATTGCTTTATAAGGACTGATCTTTAGAGCAGTAAATCCTAGTAATTATTTTAATTGTCTTAGGGCTTGAAACAGTTTAACAGTAAAGATTTCTGATTATCCAATAATCTACTCATACCAATCAGAAAATTTCTAGTTTGGAGGAGTATCTGATCACAGCTTTGGTAAAGACAAAGAAGCCACAATCAGCTACTGACTGCAGAAATTATGTTATTATTTAATAATAGAAAGTAACAGTTGATCACATAAATATATACCTTTGTGAAATATTATGTGGAGTCATAGTTTAAGTTAATTATGACAATTCCACAGTCAGAGAACATACTAATAGTGTACAATTGATTAAAACTGAAATTATAAAAAACTATCCCCCAAATGTAAAGTTATTAGCATGCAAATAAAATAAATGGTAAGGGATTGGGTAAGTGCAGATGAGGTTTGGCTGAGAAATAAAAAGTCAACAAACATATATATTTATACACAGCTACTTTTCAAAAGTATATGAACCAAAATTGTTCCCCCAGTGAAGTAAGTAAAATTGTTAGAAAGGTATCCTTCTCATTTCTATGATAGGGAAGAGACTTTCAGTCCACTCCTAAGTAGGCAACTTGACTCAAAGAGTAGCTTTTGACCACTCAGGCATGGCCTAGGTCTTGGCTCTATTGCTCTCCCTCCACTGCATCAGTAGGTGATAAGGGAGTCTGTGGTCCTCCATGAGACTGGCTAGGGTTGCTGTCAGACTCCACTCTTCCTATGGGCAAGCCCCAAATTGTAGATTTGATGAGAAGAGTAGCTGCCAAGTCTCAGAGTCCAACTTTCTAAATTATTTAAGATTAGCTACATCTTTTCCCCCCATCCCTGTAAACTTAATACTTAATGGAACCAAGAAGTAGACCTCAGGCTGCTACTTCAGGGGGATGACCTTTGGTTTCACTCATCTTTCCCTTGACACCTGATGCCACAAAGCTGGTTAATACGAAATGGGATTTGTACCTAAACCTAGCAGAGAAATCTGAGCTGCGGTGTTAAGGGTTAAGTTTGGGGTCATTTTATATAATGTGATCCATTTGAAATATGTTTTGACTTTTAATTCTTAAAATCCTTCTCAGAATAAACAGGAAAATTTCAAGTCAACTCTTTGTCCCAAGTAAACACAGGACATGCTCTAAAGAAACACCACCCAATGTTAAAACACAATTGGCTCATAATATAGCATTTAAACATGAGTACCTCCAGCCAAGATCTTCTCTTCCAACTCTGCCATTTGCTTTTTGTAGGCCCTTAAAGCTGCTTCTTTGAAAGAGGGGCGGATTCTCTTTGGCTTTGTGATTTCCACTGGCTGTTCAGGGATGTTTTGGTTTTCATCTTCTCTTATTTCCATTTCAGCTGACGTTTCACTTAAGGGTTCCAATCCACATTCACTAACCACATCATCTGCCTGCCCATCATAACCCTCATCTTGTGGGGTTTCGTAAGGTGTTTCATATAAAGGCTGATCATATTCCTGCATTTGTTCATCTGTTTCAGTCATACTAGTCCTGTTTTCCAGCTTAGCAAGGACCTGTTCCATCACTTCAACATAATCTGTTTCATTCTCAGCCGCTGGTTCACTATAATCCTCCTCATCCTCTGCTTTGTAGTAATAGGGCTCCGTGTAGACATCAGAGTCAAGTGTGGTACTGGATTCATTTGCAGTCGATTGAGATAATGTCCGAAATCTCCCCATTAAGGAGGAGCCACTGTCCTCATACCCACTGAGACTCTGTGTGCTTTTGTTCCATACTACTTCCAAGGCCGATTTAGCCCTCTGCAGTGTAGACCCGAATTTTGGGAAGCTGAAAGTTTTATCAGAAAGATCAATGCTTAATCGACTATGCCACGATTTGGGTGGGGCGTCCTCTGAATCATCGCTTTGTAATTCACTCTGACTTCGATACATCATGGACAATTGGCTTTGATTTTGGTATAGCTCATTAGAATTAGATTCCTGATAAGAATCATATTGGCCGCCCCACTGGCCTTGTGGTTCATTATCCAATCCAGGGCATGGAGATGAGTTGTCATCTTGGGTTAAATCGTAGCTCTCTGAGTCATCTTGAAGGTCACTGTGGCACTTTTCCAAGTATTCCAGGTCTTTATTATAAACATCCAAGGGTTGGTCAGAAAGACTGTTGGTGTCATAGTCAAAAGCTTCTTGGGTAGAAGAATCCAAGCCTAAGTCAGCTCCTTGCTCTACCTGATTCCATTCTTTCCATGGCGAAAGATCCTCATGCAAAGAGAGCTGAGAATCGCTATAATGACTTCGGTCTCCAGAGGCACATACCATGCCATTACTCATTCCACTATCCACAGTTTCTGTGTTTTCAATTTCGCTGTGTCCTTGGACACCCTGAACACTCCCACTTAAATGCTGGTCCTGAGGACTGTCATACAAGGTGGGTGTGCCCTCCTGTTTCCTCTGCCACAGTTCCCGGTCTGAAGATGACAGGAGGGAGCTGCCATTAGTTCTAATGAAAAACTGGTTTTCTGAAAAATCCTCTGAGTAAGACTGACACAGTTTGGAAAAATCTGACTCAGAGCGACTAAGTTTAGCAGTGAAAAAATCACTCTGTGAATGCCAGAGAGGTGTCGCATCAGCATAATGGGTTGTGGTTTGCTTTTCCACGATATCTGATTCTGGCAATTGTGAGGATGTTTTATCATAATTTGACTTATTTGAAATTCTGTTGCTATTAGCCGTTTTATTCTTGGATTTTGCACTGTGTGATTTTGAGCTTGGCTTGGAAGTGCTTCCCTTTGTTGGAAACTCAGGCTTGGAAAGCACAGAATAACTGTTTCTATTGAGGTCAGATTCCAGCTCTCCGTCACTGTCCTCAGGTGACTGCCAATTGTTCTTCTTGATTCTGGGCTCTGGGGTAGAGAATTTTATATCCATGCTTTCATACGTCTGTGAGGAGGGTATCCCTTTCTCTTTTCTTTCTCTGATTTCATGGGTCAGAATATCCGTTGAGATTCCAATGCCTGTTCCTTTGAGTTTATATGATTTTTTTAAGACAGAATCCCTTTGCTGAGGGGTTTCGAAGTACACAAGTATAGGTCGAGGCTTTGCATTGGGGCAGTCCCTTTGATGCCCTATCCTCTGAGCAAATTCAATTTTAATAGCATTCGGTACATCTGAAAAGCCCATTTTATCTATTAGAATTTGGTACACCACGCTTTCAACATACTCAAATCTTTCTTCGGGCACATTTAAAAATCTCAGGCTCGCCTTGCTACCCATGTGCCCCAAGTGCTTAATGTAATCGTGGATGTCTCTGGTTTCCCTCCGAGACTGGACGAATCCTGTGCGCAGCTGTTCGATTTCGCTTTGCACAACCTCCACACTGCTTGAGATCTCGTCGATGGAGTGCTTGAGAGCATTGACGTGCCCTCGCAGCTCAGAAAGTTCTGTCTCGATCTGACTTATTCCCTGAAGTTCCTTAAAGATCATCTCCATGACGTCATGTGTCTGGCTAATGCAGCCCGAGGAACTAAACCCTGGCTCCAGGGCATTGGTCTTTGGGTTTCGGGCAGTTCTGTCCAAAGACTTGCTTCTGATGCCCCAGGGTTTCTTCACGGTGCTCAGCTCTGAATCTGAGGAGACGCACTCTTGACTCTTCTTCCATTTCCTCAGTTTTCTTAAGGCTCCTAGTTTTAAGCTGTGGAGCGTGCGCTCCCCGTCGGAGCTGCCCTCGGAGGGTGCCAGGCTGCTAGAGCTCTTCCTGTTGCGTCGAACAGGCATGGTGTGCGCTGGCTGTACCTGGTTTTCTGTACTACTCCTTAGTTCATTTAATGATCCTGAGTAGGAACTCTCAATGGAAGACAGCTCTTGAAGGAGAGCCTCATTATCATGGTTGGCTACGCTAGTGCTGTTTTGTAGGCCGTTGGCAATAGCTACACGGTAACTGAACGTGGGCGACAGGGAAAACTCTTTGTTATCCTGGTCGTCGTCAATGGACAAGTTGCGAGCTGATGAACACTTGGCGATCTTCTTGACGGTGCTTTTCAAGGTGTTAGAGATTTTGGGGGGTTTGGTCTGGCCAGCAGGAGGGAAGTCTTGATCCTTTTTCTGCTGACGGTTCTCTTTTTTTTTGTTTGTGTTTCCCAATTTCTTTGTAAACATTCCTTTGCAAAGCTTATATATGTAAGGGAAAATCAAGCTCTTGAAAAAATGAGCCACCATGGAGAGTAATGAGTGCAAGCTTTTCTGCCCCAAAGAAGTAAACAAGGTATCGGGATGACAATATGAAAATCCAAGGCAAGCATTACTGTTCAGATGTTCTGGGAATCACTGAAAATAGCAGGAAGGGCAGGCATGGCTCTGTCACACTGTCGTGAAAACCAGAAGCGAAGCTGCATCTATGAAAGTCATTCTCTCCTGGAGGAGGGGTTTTGTGAATCGCTCTCATTTCCACATAACTCCACGGAGTATCTAAAAAGAAAGGAATGTTAAAATAAATATCAGAATTCGATTCCAGATTTATCTCACGTCAAAAAGTATTCATGATACATATACTGTGAAAATTTGCAGAGGAGGCAAGGGAACATCTGAATTTCAAAGCAAATTTACTTTTAAAACAACTAAAAGAAATCAGTACCAATGATTATACTTCTAATGATTTTTACTAAATCACTTATGGGTGGACACAATTGAAATGGTAATGTTTATTTAGAAAACACTAAGTAAAATGACAGGCAATTTAAACAGCTGTATTAATTTCATAATGTCGTTTTTTTCTTTCTTTTCCTTCCTAAATTCATATTTATTTACATAAACATAGGGATTTAAATTTCAGTATATTCTCCCCACCCCAGATATTTAAAATTCAACAAGTTAATATTATCTGTGTATGCAAGAACTTTTCTTATTCAAATAATCTCTTACTCTTCTAGATATTCAATGACGGGGAATTTCTTAAATAATGATTAAGGTTATCCAAGTAAAGAAATATTCCATATGATTAAATAAATATTAAAAGAAAACAGATCATGTATAGCCACCAAATTTGTCTGCAGAATATCATGAGCTGAAAAAAATTAAATGTTAAATCTGATTAAGTATCATAACAATAAAAATATAATATAATAAAATATATTTGAAACTGCAGATGATGATACAACCAAGTTTTGAAAGTCTGTGGCTTGAGTCAGCAGAATTATTCTAATCAACCAGTGTAGCCTTGTGGTAATGGCAGAAAACCCATCCTTGGGGTTAGGACCCAAGGATGACTGGAGACAGGGTACCACAGATAAAAAAAATAGAGAGAGAAAATCAAGAACTGGTTGACTAGAGTTTGTTCTATGATTGTATGTTTTGCAATGCAAATGACCACACAACTAAGTAAGCAATCTTTATGATGGCTAGTCTCTTGAATTATGCAAAGGAAAAAAAAAAAGAAAAAAGATTACATTTAATTTTACTGATTTGTTAGCACAGTGACTTGTATATGGTAGGAACTCAAAGTTTTGTCGAATTGAATTTATTATTTTATCACTGAAATGTATCCCAGAATAATAATAACAGTCAAAAGCCTTTGCTAGTATTGCAGTATATACTGGGGTAGATAATCTATTTAATTCATTAAAGAATACAGCATACACTACATATTGTTTTAGGACCTTGCTGACTCTCTATCAGCTCCTTCTACTTGGAAATCTGCCAGTATCACTCCAATCAGGCTCTGCGGGGACTCTGGGAATACATGGTCTGGCCGGGAGCCAAGCTACACAAGAGTCAGGGAGTGTAAATGAGGAAGAGAAGAGGAAAGAGGGAGAGAAAAGAAGTAACTCTAAAAGAGCCCATGTCTTTTTGTTTTCATGAACTGTCACAGTATAATTTCTCTTTTTGAAACAATTTGGTATTCATTCCCAATCACAAACTGGGACCTGTTTTCTACTAATAAAAATATCAAGAAATTGACTCCTGAGTTACATTCAAAATGTATTTACTATACCCCTAGGTGACCTCTCCTTGTGAAGAAAAGACTTTGGAAAGTTAAGCAGAAGTAGGGTAGATATTAATAAACTATTTTAAAACTAATTTTGATAAAATAAAGTGTTCTACTAATTACTCAATCCAAAATCCTGGATCTTCCAAACCTAGAAACAAATACCTGCTTTTTGTTTAAATGAAAGTAGCAATTCTGTTATTATCTCTGATGTTTTCATATCTCAATCTCCTGCCTGGCATTACTAGCTCAGAGATATTGTTCTAGGCAATACTTGTTAAGGACAAATTTGAACAAAAAGTTTAATTTGAATTGAAGTCTTGCCCCATCAAACACAAACCCAAGAATGTATGTCCACAGTTGCATATATGAATTCACTTGCTCTGTATTCCAGCCACAAAGAATGACCTGTTATTAACTAAGTAAGGGCTCTAACTTCTTTCACACCTCAATAAATTTTAAGTTGTCTTCGCCTAGAGTATCATTCATACTAAGCCCGCCCTATCTGTAAAAATTGCATTTAAATCCCAAAATCATTTGTCCCATGGAAACTTCACCAACCATCCTGAGCTCTTCTCTTAGTCATGTTCTCCCATGGCCCAGTTCATAGGTCATTAGAATTCTTTTGTATTTCAATATATTTCTGCCTCTCTCCATTGGACTACGTCTTCTTTAAGGGTAAAAACTATGTCTTATCCAATTTTAAACATCCGAACCCAGCGCACATAAAAAGCACTCAATTGTTACTGAATTGGCACATTTTTCAGCCACTTATGAAGTATCTCCACCTGGTTGCTCAAAATTTAACTCCATACAGAACCTAGTAATCTTGAATTACTAATCTCAATCAATGTCGTCATAATTATCCACCTACCCAAGACATATATGCAGGAGTAGATTCCCTACAATCCATCTCGTATCCATACCTGAGATACCTCATCCCACAAGTAATGCTTTAGAGTTCTGAACTCTGTAATTTCTCAGCTGGACTGTTACAATTGCATCCTACATGATCCTTCTAATGCTAATTTGACCCTTACTTCATATCCTAAATATACAAAGTGAAGATAATGAAAAATACATAAAACCTTCTACTTGAAATACTATTTTAGTGGTCCTGTTTCCTGCCACTCCCACAAGTACATCTGCCCAGCAGTCCAGAAGTGGTAGCAAGTTCCACGATTACCGTAATCTTACCTCACTCACCAATGTGCCTTTCTCCATGCTATTCCTTCTGCTTCTAATTCCTTTCTCTTTCCCCTCCCTACTCACATAAAAACCTGCAGACTATCTATACATCTTAGACCCAGCAAGGCATCAGAATGTTTTACCTCCTCAGAGTATAGTACTCTCTCCTCTCTGCTTCCATAATACCTTGAATGCCCCTTTTTTATGGTTACTCAGACAATACAATAATTACTTATATGAAGTGTTTTATTCCTATGTCTGCCTCTCCACTCTTACTGAGAGCTCTTGAAAAGCAGGGACCATATTCTACTTAACTTGAAATATCCATATTTACTTGATATATAATAGGCTCGTATTTGTTGGATAAATGAATATATAAATGAATAAATGGACAAATAATAAACCTAATAAACAAACAGTAAAGGTTTTGAGAAGCCTGGACTGGCTGCACTCAGCCTTAAACAAGGAGAAGCAGTGTGAGCAGAAGGCAAGCTCCAGAGACATTCCTGTCTTGTTCACAGATGGAGAAGCACCTCTCTTGGCCATCTATGCCTAGGAATGCCTATGATGGGAAGTAGAAGGTGTGAAAAATTGAAACAGAATGTAAGACAGTTTTGAAATTTAGGTTAGGAAGTTCCATTTGATGAGGAGGCACTAATGGCTATTAGTTTTCAGCAGGGTCTCTTGGTCCTGATTACCCGGGTTAGAATCGCAACTCTGAGATTTACTAACTGTATGATCTTAAGAAAGTTACTTAACTTCTCTAATAAATAGTATTTCCTCAAAGGTTAGTTGTAAGGTTTAACTAAGTTAGCACATGTAAAGTTCTTAGAATAGTGTCTAAAGAGATAGCAAAGCCCAGTAACTGTTAGTTATCATTAGCTCTGAGAAGGGTAAGGAAAAGATGCAAGGCGCAATAACAGAAGATTAATCAGGGGGCATCTGATGGGAAAATGAAGACTGGTAGAAGTGGGAGGCAACCTGAGAATTCTGCTAGGTAGGACACCCTAAAGAAGTCATTGGAAGTGAAGGGGAAAGATGCCCTTCATCTTCCATGGTTCTGCAACAATTTCCTAACAAACATCGAAATCTCATCTTCCCAGTTACCAAGTTCCTACCATGGATGTCTGTATGAGAGAGAAAGCGAGAGAGAGAAACAGAGAGAAATACAACCTCATCATAAAATGATGGCTGCCTTAGGGAAAGACCTGGTGAGTCCAAATTACCGGCTGTGGAACTTTCTTCAGAGAAAAGCCTGAGATAGAGAAAGATGCTGACATTTAATAAGCACCTGTTGCAGAAACTTAAATTATCTCAACGATTCTCAGGGAAACTCTTCAAAGAAGGCATTACCATGTCTATTATGTGGGTGAGAAGATAAGAATTCCAAAGGATAAAGCAATATGGCCCAAAAACACACAGCTAAATAAATCAAAAAGATAGCTTAGTCCTTAGTCCTGTAGTTTATAGAGTGATTATTTGTATGTAGAGTGAGTATTACCAGGGGTAACTGACACGTGTCGGTAAACCCACCCCATACGAACCCACATACTTATTATCTTCTCTGAAGTTCAATTTTTTAAAAAAGGAAATAGGTCAGATCATGGCAAAATTAATATGGGTGAGGGGTAGTTGGAGGGTAGAGTGGGAACCAGGATACCACAATATCATTATCTGATTCCCAACTAGTTGAATTCAAGAGCTCACACTTACCCTCCAGTCGTGCTAACTTTAATTACACGAGCACACACTATTTTCAGTAATGAACTTTACAGGTAAGATTTACGGTTTTGGGAAAAAGATCATTGAGACAGATTAAAAGACTATTTTGCTATGAGAAGGCTCAGTAATAACATTTGATATCTTACTATGTTGTAAGCACTGTCTATGCAATTTTTATTTTTTATTTTTTTATTTTTTTTGAGACAGAGTCTCACTTTGTTGCCCAGGCTAGAGTGAGTGCCGTGGTGTCAGCCTAGCTCACAGCAACCTCAAACTCCTGGGCTCAAGTGATCCTGCTGCCTCAGCCTCCCGAGTAGCTGGGACTACAGGCATGCGCCATCATGCCCGGCTAATTATATATATATATATCAGTTAGCCAATTAATTTCTTTTTATTTATAGTAGAGATGGGGTCTCGCTGTCACTCAGGCTGGTTTTGAACTCCTGACCTCGAGCAATCCACCCGCCTCGGCCTTCCAGAGAGCTAGGATTACAGATGTGAGCCACCGAGCACGGCCTGTCTATGCAATTTTTAAAAATTCATCTCACTTCATTTCTATTAATAATTGTATGAA